ACAAGACAATGTTACTTCTTGAGATAGTACATTCACAGAACGACCTAATTTTCCATTGCCTCTAAGGCTGTAAAGACCTATTTTTTTCCTTTTAAACGTTTATGCATACACTGTGATTATTATATTATTACAGACTATTGAATTTGTTTGTAAACTGTAATAATCTGAAAACGAGCAGCTTGTAAATGAAGAACAATCAAGATGGGATGGTGTGGTAACCGTTCAAAGCTAAATCACAGAGGAAACTGAAGACATTTTATTTTGAAGCAAGCCTCTACCAAACAGGATGCCTGACACCAATATTGTATTTTAGTGCCCTCTAGTGGAAGCTAAAGGAGCTGCGGTGGCTCAAGTGGTTAAGACGCTGAACTGCAGCTGTGGAAGGTCGGTAGTTCAGCAGTTCGAGACCCGAGTGTGCTGCATGATGGAGTGAGCTCCCGTCTCTAGTTCCAGCTCCTGCCAACCTAGCAGTTCGAAAGCAAGAAATTGCAAGTAGATAAATAGGTACCGCTTCAGTGGGAAGGTAACAGCGTCCCGTGCGCCTTGGTGTTTAGTCATGCCGGCCACATGACCACGGAAATGTCTTCGGACAGCGCTGGCTCTTCGGCTTTGAAACGGAGATGAGCACCGTAACCCTAGAGTCGGATTCGACTGGCTTTCGAGCAAGGGAACCTTTACCTTTTAGTGGAAGTTAAGGCAAAACTTCAGTTACTGCAAGAGACCTGATAAGTTAATTTGAACACTGTTTTTAAAAGACAACAAGCCAAGATTTCTACAATACAAACCAAGAAGGGATCACAGGTATAGGTAACACAGCAAACAAACTAACAGTGTGATATAGATGACAACACATGCTAAGGAAGAATCATACTGTATTGTAAAACTTGGCAATGTTACAGGTCCATCATTCTCAGTGAGCATCGGGATATAAATTCATTTCGTCCCAATCTTCCTCAGGAGTGATCCTATAGTAATGAAGGTGTCAGCCTCTTGCTACAGTTCAAAGTTCTGTTTAAGAGCAACCCAATGTTTAATTTCTTCTTTATATTTTTCAAATAATCCTGAAAAATAACTCATGGTATTTTAAATGAATAAGCAATATGAAGCTGAATGGAATATTATACAAACTTGTCATATTAATTTATAATCTGAATTATTTAGTTTTTAAAAAAATTTTTTAAAAAAACTTACTTCTGGTTCCATGTTCAAGATTGGGACGAAATGAGTTTATATCCGGATGCTCATTGAGAATGATAGACTTGTAATATTGCCAAGTTTTACAATATAATATGATTCTTCCTTAACATGTGTTGTCATCTATATCACAGTGTTTGTTTGCTGCAAGATTTCTACAATGCCAGGATCTACAGCAAACTGGGTTCCTCTGCATTATGTTAGCTACTGGACTGATCGGTATGAAATATGGCAGTATGTTATGCTTTTAAGGCAAGTTCATTCCACTGATACTAACTTCATTCAATGGTGATTCAAATTAGACTTATATTTTCCAACAAATATATGACTTCTCTGTTCTTCTGCAACAGAAACCCCCCCCCCCAAAATGTTGTGTTTCCACTCCTTGCCCCGCATGAGCTCATTCACTCTACAGCTCCCATTGTTCGCCTCCCCCCCCAACATTCCCCTCGTCAGCTTCAGTTCATATGAGGGTTTTCTCTGTGGGAACTGATCTGTCACCTGGAGATCAGTTATAAATAGGGATGGGCACAAACTGGAAAAATGGAGGTCTGTCCCAGTTCATGAGGTCCAACAAACCATGAACCAAGATGAACCTCCCCCGGTTCACAAACCAGTTCAGTTTGCAGACCCCCCCTTCCTTTCCCAAAGGCCAGCAGAACAGAAGGGGGGGGGGAGATCTTGCAAAAGCCACTTAAAGGGAACGTTCCCTTTAAATGGGTTTTGCAACCACGTATGATAGAAGTCCAAGCGGTGAGCTTACCACTTCCGGGTAAACTTGCTGCCTGGACTTCACTCGGCCACGGTGCCTGCTTGCAAAATCCATTTAAAGAGAATGTTCCCTTTAAATGGCTTTTGCAAGCCATTTCAGCCGCATGGCTGGGAGAAGGCATTTAAAGGACTGCAGTCTCCATGCCCCTCCGCCAGCGCCGAAACAGATGCAAGCCATTTCAGTGATCCCTTTTGCTCCTCCCCCCACTTCCAACCAGGGGGAAGCAAAAGAGATTGATGAAATGGTGTGCATCCCTTTCAGCCTGTTAGCTTTTGCTAGCCATTTCAGGGATCCTTCCCCCTGCCCCCCCCCCCGCTTCCAAGCAGGGGGGAGTGAAAGGATTAGATGAAATCACTTCCAACTGGAAAGACATTTATATACTTTCTCAGATCACTTGTGAGTTGTGCTGCAGTGGTACAGCTTGCAAAAACCATTTAAAGGAATCCCTATAAATGGTTTTTGCAAACCCCACCACTGGCACCAGCGCATCTGCCAACATGAACACGCAAACCACCTGGAAGGTTCGTGTGGCTCATGAGTGGGATGGGCATGAACCGAGGTTCGCAAACCGTGAACCGAGCCCAGTTCATCACAAATTTTGGTTCATAATTTGGTTCATGCCCATCCCTCGTAATTCCAGGAGATGTCCAGGTGCTACCTGAAGACTGGCAGCCCGACTTCATATAATGTCCACTCAAAGCTCTTTATTCTGCCCTCCCAATTCCCCCAGCCGTGCCCGTTGCCAACTCTTCGCCAGCCATCTCCACCCTTTATCATTGGTATTTCCTGAAATTACACATACCCCCCCACACACACTCTTCCCTGTTGTATTGTGTTCCTTTTTTTGCAACTCACAACGTGCAAGTCAGCTCTGCAGGCTGAGTGTATTAGAGATTAGAGAGTCAACACCATTCTCAGAAACTTACCTATTACTCCCAACAATACGATGCAATATCTCCACATTTCCATCCTGTACAAAAACTATTTCAGGGTATTTTTTAAAAACTACTTGGAGTCAACGCTCCCTCTAAGCTGTGGAGTCTTGTGAGCAAAAATTCTACTTTGTGAGCTACCGCCATTAAAGTTGTGAGTGAGCAATTTGACGACTGCATAAATTAGTTTGCTCTAGAGCCATCCTTCCTGAGCGAAGACAAAAATGTGTGACCCGGGGGTAAAAAAACTGTGAGCTAGCTCACACCAACTCAGCTTAGATGGAACACTGCTTGGAGTATTGTATTATCACCTAACAGTCTTCCAAAGCGGTACTGCCGTTAAGACATCTGGTTTAGTAGCCTTCAAAATATTTTTCCAATTAAAAATTGGAACCGACCTACTTATCCCACGTAATTCCGGGATTCTTCTTTCAAAAATGTCACCCCACCCCACCCTGCCGCCACTGAGAAGCATTTGGAAGCAGTCGAATGCTGAGAGGGCCTAGGAGGGTGGTGAGGGGCTGTTTAACCCATTCCCCACAAGACCCTGTCTACTCAGAATGGCCTCCACCCAGTTTTTCTCTCACCCCTGCTGGAGAAGAGTAGGCGTCCAGGAGCAAAGAGCTGCCAGGGACAGAAGGGAGAAGCCGCCCATCAGCCCCGGGGCTGCAGGCCCCATCCACACGCAAGGCATCCCTGTTCTGCAGGTGCTTTTCTTCAACAAAAGAACAACCCTCCAGGGATGGCCCCCGATCCCTGCTTTAACCGGAGAAGTCTCTTGAACATGCCGGGACCATTTCCAGAGATGACCAACACTTTAATCTCTCACACTTCTTTGCTGGTAGCCAAGGCACAGCCGTCCCTATCTGAGGGGCAACGAGAAAGGGCCGTTTCCGCCGGAACCCCTCGATTATGGGGAAACCTCACCAAGGAGGTGTGCCTGTGCCTGGCTCCCTCACTTCTGGAGGCAGCTGAAGACAGTTTTATTTAGGACCACGTTGGATTCAAGAAGCCCACAGAGGGACCCGGCCGTTCCCTCGAGGGACAGGCCCTGCCCCGGTCGTCCTGCCACCCCGGCGCAGAGGGTGAGCCCCAGCAAGCTGGGCCCTTCCTCCACAGACAAGCACAAAAAAGGGAACGTGCTGCATATGTAAGTTTCTAATGCAAAAAAACTGGTGTGGTTCAAAGAACTATGGAAGAACTCCTTCCACATTCAAGCCAGCATGACCAAAACAAAGCCAATGATTGAAAGGAAGGCATTCAGTGTGGGGCAATAGTAGCTCTGTGCTTACAAAAAGTTGGTCTTTACTCCTTGTTATCAGGCAAGATCCAACACTACAAAGAATCAGAAGCAGCAGGTGAACAAACAGGAAGCGGCCTCCTACTGGCTCAGGCCCCCCTCGGTCCATCAAGGGCAGTCTTGTCTACTCAGGCTGGAAGCCGCTCTCCTGGGTCTCAGGCGGAGGTCTTTTCAGATCACCTACTTGCCTGGTCCTCTGAACTGGAGATGCCTCTGGGGACTGACCCCGAGACTTTCGGTATGCAAAGCATCCTGGGGGCGTGGCTCAAGCATCTGCTTGGCACACCAGCTAAAAGCACCAGGCAGCAGGTGATGTGAAGCACCTCCACCGGAAACCCTGGAGAGCCACTGCAGGCCTGTGTAGGCAACACTGACCTTGACGGACCAAGGGTCTGAGTCAGCAGAAGGCAGCTTGAGGGTCTACCACTGAGCCACAGCCCCTCCCCAAACAGCAAGGCCTTCTGAGACCAAGTGCCCTTCTGGCTGCAGAAGAAGGCAATGCAGCCCGGGCACTCTCTGCCGGTCTGGCCTAGGCTAGGCTTTCATGAGTCCCTGCTCACACCCAGCTTGGTGCTTGGGGGACAACAGTGGGAGGGCTTCTGGAGTTTTGGCCCTGCTGGTAGACCTCCTGATGTCACCCGGGTTTTGTCCACTGAGTGACACATGAATGTTGGACTGGATGGGCCACTGGCCTCATCCAGCATGGCTTCTCTTATGTTCTTACGCTATTTTTTAAACATTACTTTAGTTGGCCACCTTAAATAAAAAACACGGAAGTCTGATTTGCTCTATAAAAATTCACCTTTGTAGAAAGCACTTTGAATGTACTTTGTTCTGGAACGATGGAATGAAGAAGATAAAGCTGTAACCTGTAGTCTTCCTCTAGGGGAACTCTCACCGAGGCAGCTAGCTGTTGAGAGAGAAAATATATCGGAAGTCAATAAAACAAAAGTGTTGCTTTGTCTTCCTGGGAAAATAAAGGCAGAAGCACTTCACTGGGAATTCTTTATGCAGTGTCGGCCCAAGACAGAGATTGCCACTGTCACCTTTTACCCGGCTGATTCGACAGCTAGTTCAAGATGTGCTAGAAAATAAGCACAGGAACATTAGCCACCAAGAAGATGCTCAGGAAGCACTGCTAAGTCAGCCTGACATTCATTGTGTAAGTAAAGAACTGCGTAACATTTATTCAGCTTCAGAGGGTAGCTGTGCTAGTCCGTCTCCCGTCTCGTTATCTGTGCCGATTTCTCCACGCGTCACAATCCAATCAAGCCTGCTGCTGTCATTTCCCTGCTATGGCCATTGGGTATCTGAAATCGCTTCACTCTCAGAGATACGGGGACAGAGGGACTCACGTTCGAGCTCTATGTGAGCCGTGACTCAGGAAAGCTCCTCCCCTGCCGTGAGTGTTGTTCGTCCTGAAGGTGCTCCTGGACTCTGGCTCTTTCCCACTGCTACAAACAGACAGACTAACACGGCGGCCTGTCTTGATCTATCCTGCAGTAGAACAGCAAGAGGAGAGTCCAGGAGCCCCTCAGAGACCGACAGGACTTTCCGGGGATGAGCTTTCGAGAGCCAAAGCCCCCTTGGCCAGACACCGGAGTGTTCTGACTCTCAAAAGCTCATCCCCTGAAAGTCTTGTTGGTCTTGAACCTGGCTGTACCTTTATTTCGGAAATCCTACACATAGGCGTCATTTTCTTGCTTTACACTTCGCATGTTTCCATGCCCAGAAAAATGTGTGGCTACAAATAGGGAGTCACTTAAACGATGGCTGTTGTCCAAAAACGGATTCCAAGTCCTAAAACAAGTTTATTCAAACTGGCGCACTTCTCCTCAAGCAAGGGGGGACTGGCAAATCCCCATGACAGCCACAACCCAATGGCTCCCCAAAAGTCCTCTGACTGCAAGGAACAGCTTTTTGGGTGGCTGGGAGATGGGAGGATGTGGCAGGGGTGGGGCCCACTTAAGCCAGCAGAGCTCTACTGGTGCGTCTTTGGATCCAGTCCAATGCAACTCTCTAACAGTGAGAGGCTCATAATTACAGCTAGCAAGCACTGTGGCATGGACAGAATACACACACACACAAACGTCAGAAAATATCTGTCCCACCACTGGCTAAACCCTCACCACCCCCGCTCTGCCACATGCTGCTGCTCCTTACTCTGCAGTCCTAAGCATGCTTTTCTGAAGCCACGCGGCCGGACTCCTTGCCAAGAAAGTGTGCTTCGAAGCCAGAGTGCTGCTGGCTCTCAGTGAGCTGCAACTCTTACCTCCTTCTCGGAAAACTGCACATTCACATCATCCTTCTTCGCGTTCTTGATCATAATTGTAACGATCACGTGAGATTCTGTTTGGTACCAGTCATGCCTGAAACGAACACAAGTCTTACTTCAATGGTGCCAACCACAGCAGGTCTACTCAGAATCCTACTCAGGTCTACTGAGTGGGGCTTACTCCCAGGAAAGCTTTCTTAGGATTGTGCTGCAAGTATTTCGGTTTTATCCCTTGAGTTGCCGCATCAGACATTTCCCACCTTTCCCCTCTCCCTTTTTAAAGCAAAGGGAACCAGAATCCTGATTGGATTTTGCAGATTTTAACAGTCCTTACTTTTGAAGACCTGTACTTCCAAATATGTCAACACTAAACACAGACTGGACCCAACTTGTGCTCCAAGGAACGCTGGGGTTTCTTGGAAACTCTGTGTAGTCTCTCAGTGAGAAAGCAACAGACATCTCCCTGAATGGAGGTTCACCCATCACTCTGGTCCTTACCCTGCAACGAGCAGCTGTTGGGGAGGGTCTCCAGAGGTCTGCAGTTGGGCAGAGAAATGGGGGAGCACAAGGGGCCCAGCCAGCATTCTAGGGAAGAATCAAGCTGGATCATTGACTGAAATGGGGTGGGGGGGGGAGAGACTATACAAACACAAGCAACTGTATGCTGGGTGACCTCCACGTGTCTGCCTGCTCTCCCGCTAACTGCACAGTGGGAGCAGAGCAAACAGCCAGGGATGGAGCCACAACCTCTCCGCTTCCCAGGGATGGGCCCCTGCAGACTACAGAACCCGGTATGGGACACCCTGGTTTCGTATCTGCAGAGGCAGGAACATGATGCTTAATGAAATGCTGAAATGCCAGCGACTGCCCTGCAGAGGTCCTGAATTATGCTGACAACTGTCAACAATGCACGCCTCCTCCCTTGGGATCTGGAGAAAAAAAGCACTGGGGCCACCACAGAATAGCTGCCTAGGGGGACCCTAAGCCCACCACAGATTTTTAAAGCTTTATTTAAATGTTTAAATTCAGGGAGAAAAATGGAAGGTTTCAGCTTTTCGGGGCCAAGCTTAATACTACTTGTCAATCAAAATTAGGGTGGCCTTCGTTAATGTCTGCAAAGCCTTTGCAGGACGGGAGACCCCAGTCGGGGAAGCCAGTTGAAACCCATACGGTGGAGTCCATCCGCCTGTGCACAGTGGATTTCACTGGTCATGCATGAAGATATTCCAGACACGGGAGACACTGGGGTGCTTTCTCCCCCGGCTGCCATAATCCTGCCCCTTTCCTCTTTGTCCTGCTCTTTCACAGAGTCTCTTGTGCAGTGAGGGCCCCCCCCATCCTGTGTGCTGCAGGTGATGCTGAGCAAATGGACTGTTCTGCCGACTGGAATTGAGGAGCTGCAGAAATTGTAGGAGAGCATGTTGAACAGACGGCCAGTGCTGCAATACAAACACCTGGCCCCTCTGCTGGCACACAGTGGACAACTAGAGTGCTCTCAGCACATAATGTAGCACCCTCGTCAGAACCCCCCCTGAAGCACTGGGACACACACCCCAGCTCATCTCCTGCCTTGCAAACCCCACGAGGTGCAGGGCTGGTGGAGACTCAGCAGCACACTTCCCCTCTCGGCAGATGCTATCTTAAGGCCACAGGAAAAGAAGCCTCGAGGGAGAAATGTAACGATCCCTCCAAAACGACTTGTAATCACGCTAACATTCCCACAGGCGCAAGGACTTCCACCTGGGGAGCATGGCTTTCCTGCCTCCCCCTCAGGGCAGCCCCAAAGGCTTCCACCTGGGTTACCATGGGAGGGGAGAGGCAGGAAAAGTGTGCTCCATGGGCAGCAGACCTGGATGCAGCTCAGTGTTTTTACACGGCTTAGTCATTCAACAGGTAAAATGAACAAAACAGTCCATGTCATTGTGTCTTGTATCTTTTAAATGAGCACACGATAAAGATATGCAAAACAACATCAGTGAAGCCAAGGTCATCTGTAACGTGGAGAGCCACTCTGGGCAACTCCCTTGCAGGTGTAGGACACGATGAGCCAAAACCGTGCGTGGAGCACTTGGCACTCCTGGGGAAATTAGACAAATACAAAAGATAATAAGGAAAAAACAAAAACAACAACTCTTACTTGAACTTAGGTGGCCGAGACGGGTGTTGCAAGACCTGCGTGCCCTCCAATGTAACGGAAAGAGATTCAGGAGTTAGGATCATTTAACGGTGTTTTCAAACTGCGTGTCATTTTTACTGCACAAAAAAGAACTGCAGAGTACTGTAACAACATGCATATATGAAACCAAACCCCCCTGCCCAGATGTGTCCCATTTTAAAAAGTGAAGATCTCATTTTTTTGGGGGGGGGGGCAATTGGAACACAAGAGTCATCAGCATCAGACACACGCCAGATCCCAGCACTGCCACAGAGATGGGTGGCCTGTTGACCCCAGTTTGTTGCAGAAGGGCCCTGCTGGCACACCCAGCAGCACCTGACTTATCTAGTAGCCACAATTATTTTGTCAAGCTTGTCGTCGGGCTTTACAATCCTTCCAAGACTGACATACTAAATTTAACAGTGCAACCTTCTGACGCTTACGCGCAGTGAAATCAACAAGCTTAGACTGGAAGAGCTCTCCACGGGATTGTTAAGGCAAAAGACAACAGATTCCCAAGAGGGAAAAGAAATTCACTGTACTTCAGAGTAAAATGCAGCTCTTAGGCAGATGGAAGACAAAGCTGTCATCTACATAAGAGAAAGTGTTCTGCTTCAGAAAGTGAGAGTATATGAATCAGGAAGAACCTTACCACTTCAGCCTGCAATTTCCCTGCAAAGCAAAAGTAAATTGCATCTTCAGGGAGGGGGAAATCACATTGAAAAGAATCAAAACACATCTTAGAACATCTCAACGATCCCCATGGTTTGGATTCACTGCAAGTGTTTCCTTGGGCACAAGGATTTTCACCCGCAGAACATGGCTTTCTCATTTCCCCCCCTCCTGCAGCAGTTTACCAGAACCCCCAAAATCATGTTCCAGGCAGGAGTCCTGTTCCCCCAGGATTAGGATTTTAAGGAGGGCAGAGACAAGACCACAGTCTGTGGGAAGGACTCCTGGCACCCTGGGAGGAACTCTGGTGAATCCAGGCCAAAAAGATCCAGGCAACAGGGACACTAGTGCTTTCGGCTCCATTTGCGTTTGGGCTAGGAGCCAGTTTTCATAGATACTCTCAGCTTGAAAGCCTCTGGTCACACAATCACTTGGGTGATAATGGGAGAAAGCATCCTGGGCGTAACAATCTCAGTAACCATAGATTTGTCTTCAGAAGAAATTGTGTCTTGCACGCCACCTACACATTTCACTGAAACCACCACATGTGGCAGGTGATTGGATCGCCCCCCCGCCCCCCCCCGGGCAAGCATTAATCCCAGCAATTAGATCTCATTATTTTTGAAACCTTCAAAGGTTTTGAAATCATATTCAAATACAAAATTATTTCATGCCAAAAATACTGAAGTGTGAAATTTTTTTGCAAAATTTGACAAGTGACAAAAGATTTTAAAAAATCCAAGTTCTGCTAAGAGCTTGATCTTTCAACTATGCAAACAAATACTCTTTTCAACCTAAACTCGGAGAGAAACAGTGGCAGAAGCAAGCCACAGACTTTGAATTATTCATACACTACTGAAGTGTTCGACATCCCTTCCGGCCACTTCTCAAAATGACCAGACCCAATATTCCCACTACCTGTTGGAAAAGGTTTTTTTCTACACAGTCACTGGAAGATAAAATGATTATGGGTAAACATCTAAATACCAAGTAAACTTTGGTGCCAAGTCCAAAATTATTACACCTTCATGGAAGTCAGAAAATTAATTCCCAGTGATGTATCCCCAACTGAGGATACATAAAGGTGTCAACCGGTTGGAAGAGGGACATCACCACCACTGCCCACTTGTCTCTTATTGTTAAAGTGGTTTCCACAAAAGGACACTATTCCGTGTCCTCAAGTCTAGTGTATTTTTCTAATAGAACTGACCTGTGACCAACCTTACAGAATTGTAGTAAGGATGACAAAGATTGCATGTAGATTCAGGTGGGGGCAGCCGTGTTGGTCTGAAGGAACAGAACAAAGTTTGAGTCCAGTCGGGCAACCTTTAGACCAACAAAAATTTTTTCTGGGGATTAGCTTTCATGTAAGCTGATATCTAGAATTAATCTTTATTGGTCTTAAAGGTGCCACTGGATTCAGACTTTGTTTTAAAGCAGGGGTGTCAATCTTAAGGCCCACAGACCATGGCTTTAATCCAGCCCCCTGGGGTATTTTCTTCCCCCCTCCTCCCCCTCCCATCCTCACCTTTTGAAGCTCCAGGCTGCCAAAGTTCCCAGCTTCCTCCTTCTTGTCCTTGCCTGCTTTGACAGGAAGCTCTTCTGGGCTTGCAAAGTTACAAAGAAAATATGGAATGGATCTTTCCATTAAGGTCTCTGCACCCAGACAGACTACTCTGGGATTATTTCCAGCAACAGAAACAGTGCTCTGGGACTGGAATGACATCCCCCAGAGTGGAATGACGGTCCCCAGCAGTAGATTCTGTGTCCTGTGTCGAATGACAGGGTGCTGAGTAGAATGACAGCCCCTGGGAGTAGCAGCAGCATTCTGGGAATGAAATTCCACCCTGGGGGGGCCTCATTTCAATCCCAGAATGCTTCTGCTACTCCCAGAGATTGTCATTTCACTTTGGTGGCTGTCATTCCAGTCCCAGAGTAGTCTATCTGGGCCCAGAGACCTTAATGGGAAATTCATTCCGCATTTTCTTTGCAACTTTGTCTGTTCTGCAATGTATTTCAATAGAGTGGAGTGCAAGAAGTTCCACTTTCCACTGTTTGTATAGTTGAAGCTATTGTTTGCTGGAGTTGTCTCCTTGCAAATACAGGGTTGTTGTTTTGAACCAGCTTGTCTCTGCTGAATAGACCTGAGAATGGGTGCGTACTCATTTCTCCCACAGCCAAAGGAGGAAATTACACTGGAGAGCCACTGCCAGTCTGGGGGGAGGGGAGAAGCTTGCACTGCCCAGCCATTTTATGTTCCTAGGCTCAAAGCATTTTATATTTTTAGTTTCTGCTGTGACCCTTGTGCCTTTTCTTGATGTTTTATTTTAAAAATTGCATTGCCAAACCCCACTATTCCCCCACCTTTCCATTTCAGGCAGGCATCTTTGGGGGGGGGGGTTGGGAGGTGTCAGTTATCAAATAAACAAAATATCGCAAGAGTTGTGAGCATGTTTATATTTTGAGTAAAAAATAATATCTTTAATTGTGTTTGTATTTTTTATAAAGTTTATATCTCCGCTACCGGGGCATTACATTTTATGACACACATGACCTGGCCCCACAAAGTCCCACTTATGTCAGATCCGGCCCTCGTAACACATGAGTTCAACACCCCTGTAAGATTGCACATGTGAGCTTTCAGCATTCCCAGAATTGTAAAACTCTTGGATTCAAACTGACATCTTTCACAAGGTCTTATTTTTTTATTCTCATTCATTACTCTGACAAGGGAGGGCAGGATATAAATGGAAAAAAGTAAATAAATAATTTTAACTATCTGACTTCACAGACCAGACCAAACACTCATGAATGGAGTGGAGCTCGCCACAAGCTATTTTCTGGGAGTTGTGGGATCACTATGGGACACTAACTAGAAGGCTGGATCATAAGGAGAGACTGGGGGGGGGACACACACATTTCCTTCCTTGAGCTCCACCGCAAATGGAACAAGTGCTTGCCCAAGGGTGGGATTTCCAGTTCCTCCTTCCACTGCAAGTCTCCACTGCCTCCAAAGGGGAAAATCAGCAACCTCACAAACTCTGTTCCCTTTGTAGCGGTTTGGATTTCAGCAAAGTCACCGAACATCAAATTAGTCACTTATCAAGGAAGTAAAAATGCTGAATTTTTGAATAATGACTGTCCTTTAACTACATGGCTTAGAATCTCTCTCTCTTTATTTTAAATCAGTTGCTGCAGGAAATCAACAGGCACCCCTGGGAAGACACTACAGCCATTTTAAAGGGCCATAAACCCTACATTCTGCAAATCATGTTTCTTTTGTTTAATGGTGGGTTTGAATTGGTTTCAGGACTTCTGGGATCTTCCTAGATAGATCTGACTCAAACATCCTTTTCCCCCCTCTTAAACCCAGATTCATCTCTCTTTGCATTCCTAGGAAAAGTAGCTTTTTTAAAAAAAGAGCAGTTCACAGCCTGCGCTTTAGTTCTGCTAGTGTTTGAGAAATGAACTGCAAGATCTGAGATGGAAAAATGCCACCAGTCAAAGTTTAGGCCAGTTCCCTTTCAGTTGGTGTGGTGTGAAGCAGTGACAAAGCAGGGGAAACTGAAGACAAAGAGCAACAGGAAGGGGGAAGTCCTTTGCCTTGCTCTTCCACTCAGTGGGGAAGGTATGGGATTCATCCCCTTACTGTGGTTTTTGAGGGAACAGAGTGCCCCGAATGCATTCAGGAACTCATCACACTATGTCCAGAACAAGAGCTTATTCTGAGCAGAAAGAAAAATCTGCATTTCCTTTTCCGGCTTCTTAGCAACTTTATGAGGGAAGGCAGGGAGCAGCTGGGCACCATCCACTATGCCCGGGCTCAGCTCCAGCTGGAAGAACAGGCAGTTTTGAACTGGCCTGTGGGTCAACATGCACACACAGAAATGTATGCTTGCACATGGGTGAGAGGCACATCTGCTCAGTAATATGCAAGCACAAGACCTTCTTCCCAAGATGGTCAAAAACCACACAGAGGAACAGGAAAGGAAAGGCCTCCCCTATTGCTTGCAGCAACCCCAGCCAAGGGGAAAGGAAGGAGAAGAAAGGGGCAGCTTGGGATCTTCCATAGCCAGGTTATTTCATTGCCGTTTCCCCCCCCCCTGGGAAGCCCTCTCTAAGGCAAGCTTTGAACCACGTCTTCAACATGACCCATGTCAACAAGTGGCGTTTAGATTGACAGTGGCTGTGAGAAGGCGTCACGAGGGTTTACGTGGAAGCGGGGGGGTGTGCACGAGGAGAGGCGGCCCAGATCCCCCCCCCCCTTAATAGAGCAGCAAACTACATAAAGCCTTGCTTACTGCTAAGGGCTTCTTCGCATCTTTCAATCCAGACAGTAAACATCTCGTCTGTACCTAGCAAACAAACACAAAACGAAAGCAGCATCAAGACACAGAAAAAGATTTCCATTTGCATAAAGTGAGTAATTCCCAGTTATACTGAACAGTCCTACAAGTGCTTCTGAACATCACACTGTTTGAATTTTGAAATCCCACCCTTGCACTTAAGAACGGCCAAAAGAGGGAACATACGATCAAGCCAGCTGGTTTTGAGAGATGTGGACACACCTGTGGTATGAAATTAACTACAATATTAACAGCTGAGATTAGAAATCTTAAAAATATTTTGCATTACTTTAATCACAGTAGAATAAAATTTGAGTCCAGTGGCACCGTTAAAACCAACAAAGTTTAATTCTGGGTACAAGCTTTTGTGAAGAGGTTCACATCCAGGACAGGCATCCCTGTTGGCGGAAGAGATCCACAGGATCCAACCCGCTGTGTGCTTTCCAACTTCCTACATTTCTTTACTGGGCAATTATATCCTTCTAAATCAAAAAAGATGGCAGTTGCTTGAGGAGGATATGCAGGCAGATCTAAAGATACAATTGTGCAGATTTCCTAGTGGAGACCTCTGCTACCTCCTCCCACCCCAACCAGTTCAGAGGATCAAGAGACACCCCCCCCCCGAATGGCATGAGACACAGCTGCAGTCCTTCTGCCAACAGATCATGTGGAGGGAGCACAATTTCAGCTCTCCAGCTGCACACTGGTTGGGATTACACTCCTTGCCTGCAATGAACATGTGGCTCATGTACAAGCAAGATCATACTTACTATCCAGCTTCTGTCCTTCACTGAAAGTCTTCATTGCAGCTCTGTAGTTCTCCATGTGGTATTCACCTATCCTGAGGCGAACACAAAGAGCAGCATGAAATTCTGCCTCCCGCCATACCCAGGCTATCAATGACAATCATGTGACACCCAAATCACCCAGAGGTGATCCTTCCATTCATGTTCAAGCGGTTATTACAGGAAGGAGATCTATGATGCAGCCTTATTTGGAATCCTGTGTACACTTCTGGTCACCATATCTCAAAAAGGACATTGCAGAGCTGGAAAAAATACAGAGGAGGGCAACCAAGAAGATTAGGCAGAAGAGTCTGGGACTAAGGAGGGATATGACAGAAGTTTATAAAATTATGCATAGGGTAGAGGGAGTTAACAAAGAGAAAGTGTTCTCTCTCTCCCAAAATAGTGGAGCATCCAATGAAGCTGATGGGCAGTAGGTTCAGGACAGACAAAAGGAAACACTACTTTACACAGAGAGTGATTAAAATGTGGAAATCTGCTGTCAGAGGATGTAGTGATGGCCACAGGAATAAACAGCTTTAAAAGGAGATTCAGTATATTCATGGAGGATAATTCTATCAATGGCTACTAGCCATGGTCAATGTTCCCTCTAAGCTGTGGAGTCTTCTGAGCAAAAATTCTACTTTGTGAGCTACTGGCATTAAAGTTGTGAACGAGCGATTTGGCTACTGCATACATTAGTTTGCTCTGGAGCCATCCTTCCTGAGCTAAGACAAAAATTTGTGAACTAGCTCATACTAACTCAGCTTACAGGGAACACTGGCCATGGTGACTGAGGGGAACCTCCACATGCAAAGGCATTAAGCCTCTGAATCCCAGAGCCAGGAGGCAACATCAGGGGAAGGCCTCGGCCTCTATGCCCTGTGGTTGGCCCTCCAGAGGAACTGGTGGATTCCTGTGTGAGGAACCAACAACAATCAACAGTATATATTGAGTTGGTTAGCGGCTTTCACCTTGGACAGCAGGTTTTTCCTCCTACTAAAAACATTAAGCTACACACCTGTTTGTACTGCTCTCACAGAGATTGTTGTTTTTCATTGTAGAATGTTTTGTACTTAGATAATTAAATGCACACGAGAATGAATTGAACTTAACAACTGTGTTTGTATTTATATATATTGATCCTTGTGTGAGACAGGATGCTGGACTAGGTGGACCACTGGTCTGATCTTATGAGACGCCATCCCCTTCCCCATAAGCACACAAATGCCTGTTCAAAGGGGGGGAGGTCCAACTCATCTGCAGCACATAGTATTTTAGCAGAGGACTCCATAGAGCAGAGCAGAGGACACCTTGCTAACTTAGGGATATCAAATACCTGTTCGACAACAGTATGCAGTAACCAATCTACAGTTTGTTCCTATCACCACCAAAATCTTTGATAATGAAAAAAGTTTGATTCTACTTTATTTCTGACTTATAATAGGAAGAAAAAATATCCAAATCATTCACAGGTGCAAGCTGGTATTCAACGTGTTAAGAAAATGGTACCTCTGAAACTATCTGCATTTTCTAGAATTCCAACAGACACCTACCCTTGTCTAAGAAAGGCTGTGGCGTTCCTGGGGTCAAGTGCAAGGGAATTCTTTGCATCCGTAATGGCATCTGCAAGAAGGAGCTAATATTAATCTTTCCAGAACTCCATTACATCCTAGCCCATTTCCCACTATTTCAACTGTGCAGCCAAACAGAAACACAAAGTCTACCTTGGCTGGCTTTTCAAAAAAATAAGGCCCAGGGGCACAGTGTGCCTGTAAATTTAAAAAAACAGCAACCAAACACCTGTTCTCGACCGCTACTGTAAAACTTAAAAGACTGATTCCTTGAAACGTGTATTTTTATATACAACAATTTGTTCTATCCATGTTCAAATTATTTAATTCCCCAAATGGATAGTTATCTCAACATAAAAGGTTTATTCAATTCAAAGTCTGCATGTGACAAAAAAGTAACAGACAAGGACTGCACCAGGTATCAGCATTTTTAAAAAGCCACCAAAGATATTTTAGCATTTTTAGGATAAATGTTACCATGGTAATTCTGAAGAAGAATGTGAGCATAAGCGCGTTGACAGTAATACTCCGAATTATCAGGCTGCTCTTCTAGCGCCACCGTCAACTTCTGCAAGTGAAAATACAAAAAAATTAACTTGACATTTTCTACAAATCCCTCTATAGCCTACAGTGAAATGTCTTGCTTGACACATCAAACAGAATCAATTAGCACAATTTTGCTTTGAGATGAATTATGCCAGAAGCAAAAGTTCTTTGGCTCAGAGAATTGCTGCTTACAACAGAGATAAAAGCCTCACAGCTAACAGAGCTTCAGAGTCAAGAAACTCTAGTTAGAAAGGAGAAGAAATGCTGCTCTGAGGAAAGAATTCATTTACCAATAGTCATGGAGTATTTGCATTCCTACCCTCCTTTTCTCCCCAGTGAGGACCCAAAGTGGCTTCTCCACCCTCCCAACAACCCTGTGAGGCAGGCTTGACTGACAGTTTACATTCCCACCGCAAGCTGTGCCCATCACACAGCATCTTACAGACTAAGGCCATAAGCACCGGAAAGGAATCAAATCCACCCACATGGCTTCCCTGATGGGACCTTGTGAATTCAACCAACACTTCCTTTCCCTTGTGAAGCAGGGGAAGGGGAAATTCTCCCAGGGAAGAAACTCTAAGTGCCTCCCCCATGTACATTTCAAGTTTTGAATGCATTTTCCAGAACAACAGCCAAGCATGATTCAAGCCACTTCAGAGTTTCCGACTCCTGAAATGCAGACCTGAGGTGCACCTGGACCAATCTTAAGAGGTAAATATAATGAGATGAATCCCGTGCCTGTTGTGCTCGATTTTCATCAATCCCTCCCCATGCAGCCCCCCCAAGGATAAGTATTCACCCGCTCCAGGCGCAGGACTTGGGGGGACACAATAGACTGCTGCAGGAAGGGGAAGGTAGAGATGCTGTACTGAAGATGCATAGAATCCCACTCTTAATTTTTAACCCATCCATATTTTGATTTGAACATTTAATGTTTGTAAATTGAGAACTATGAATACCTTGGAAACAACTTCCCCATGGGAAAGTGATGCCAGGTACAAGGGGGGGAAATTTTTTTTAAAAAGGAATTTGTTCTTTTAGAAACTACATTTCTCTACTATACTATACCATGAACCAGCACGCCACACAGACTAGTGACCGTGGCGCCAGCCTGCTGGAAGTGAGCTGCAAAGTGGTGGTGTGCTGCCTCCATGTGCTGTTCACATATGTGGAACTTTGTCTCCTTTTCTCTGAACAGGACACGCACACCTGTTCTGCATCAGATGACCAGCCTCTAAGTTTCAATAATTTACTACCCAGAGAGGGAATACTATTTGGGGAGGAAAAACATGGGAATACGACATAATTTTTAAATTCCAGGTGTGACTGCTTGGCTATTATAGGCCCCTGCCACACCGGGGGGGGGGGGGGAAGGATGGGGAAAGGGGGGCTACCCCCCCCCGCGGGGGGGGGGGGGGGATAGCATGGGCAAAGTGTGGCTTTCTAAAACCGCACCAAAAGAGAGACGCGGCGGCGGGATCACATAGATCCCCGGAGCTGCCACGCACTTCCTCCCCGGCACGATCAGATGCCGGGGGGAAGCCACTAAAGAAAGAGTGCAACAGCCGAACTGCGCATGTGTGCGCATGCGCAGTTCAGCGGGGAGCCTGGATTGATCCGGACGACGGGCGCAGCGGCGATCCCACGGCCACGCTTGCAGTGGTGCTTCAGGTAAGTCCCCCTCTGTAGGAGGTTCTTTTTCGCAGCGGCTATTCTGGGTTTAGGGACGGATCAGGGACAGGTGCGCGCCGCTTCCCAGATGTTGCGGTGAGATCGCGCCCGTTTGCTGCGCCCCCGATCCGTCCCTCTCCTGGGCCAAAGGGTCCCGTGTGGCCGGGGCCTTAGTTTTGCATACAGATATGTAAATATAAGGTCTGTCTTGCATCCAGTTTGGAGTAACGCCTGTGTGCTCCTTGTTGTTGTATTTGGTGCATCAAGATGGTTTAACAAGGGATTACTGGAGACTCATCCCTACTGTGTAGATCTGGACATTTAGATCCCATCCCTCACAGGTGTCATATTGGATAAGTATCAGAATGGAAACTGCAATTGCTGTAGAGCGAAAGAAAATAATTGAATGAATTAACCATGATAGGGGCCCACAATGTGGTGCCCCAGGGTGCCATGGCGCCCACTAACACCTCCCCCGGTGCCTACCGAGCCTTTTCTGAAAGTGGGTGGGGCCACATGGTGCCGCTGCCCAGCAGGGCTTCTGATGGGCTGCCGGAGATCAAAACAACATGGTCTCAGCCGCAGCTGTCACCAGTGTTGGTTCTATTTTCTTTCACTCCTCTTTCTCAGGGTACTTTTAAAGAAATTACCTCCCCTTTCCCCTGCATTTGGGCCTGCTCTGAGTTTGTGACTCCACCTCTTGCAGCAGTCACACTTCTACTGTCTCCACCTCCTGCAGCGGCCATTTTGCGGCTGCGCCCACCATGCTGTGCCAGAATCCCAAGGTGCTCACAGGGTCCGAAAGGGTGGGGATCCCCGGGCTACGATATCCAAGGGCAGTTTTTACGCAGCTAATGTAACAACTTATGCACGTAACAACCACTACAGAAAACTCCCCACATTTACACCAAGCCACAATATACAAATCAGTCCCACAAGATACAGATGCAGCCGTACTGATCCCCAAGGGATGCAGGCATACACCCCCACTGCCCCAGACTCCCTGGTGCAAGCACTACCAAGGAGACAGGTTCAGGTGGGCACCACCCTGTTGGTCTGGAGCAGCAGGACAAAGTTTGACTCCAGGAGCACTTTGAAGACCAACAAAGTCTTTTTTTGGACATAAGCTTTCACGTGCACAATGTTCTACTAGCCGCCCTGAGCCTGCTTCAGCAGGGAGGGCGGGGTAGAAATTAATTAATTAATTTTAAAAAGAGCGCATGTGAAGGCAGCAGATCACATTACTTAAGCTGTGGAAGAACCAACACGAACAAATGAAAAACAGCGTGCCTAGACAAAAAGTGTGCAGAAACCTCTGGTACATCACATCATCAGAGCAAAATCTGTGCCGTAATTAGCCTTCTCAGACTATCCAGACCTATCTCAAAAGAGCATTCACTGGCCCATCACTGCACTATTACAGGAGATAAACAGCACATTGCTACAGTTAAAGAAATTCACACACTTTCTTCAGAATGAAGAAGTCAGTAAGAGAAGAATTTAGACAACAGGAAAGATAAAGGCTTAGAGAACAGCAGGGAAATAATACAAGTTGCTAAATAAGTATGTTTCAACAACCCAAGAGAGAAAACTCACACAGAAACACCCAACCCAAGCCTCCTGGTTTGGGGTACCCCCTTTTTTCTGGCATTATGCCCAAAGAACTACTTCACCAAGGTTAGAAAGTGTTTATCTGAGAACTCACAAGGAACTCCGGTTGCAAAAAATCCAGTTCCTTAGCATGTCTTACCCCAACTCTGACCAAAGCAGACAGGTTGCTACAGCCAAGACTGAACCTCCCATTTCTCCACCAGGAATGCTCCTGCTGAGCCTTAGAAAGTCACACACGTGGACACATGAAGCTGCCATCTACTGAATCAGGTCATTTGGCCCACTGAGGTGTACTCTCTGAATGGCAGCAGCTCTCCAGGGACTCAGGCCGAGATCTTTCACATGACCCTTTGAGTTGGAGATGCCAGGGATCGAACCTGGGATGCTCTGCCACTGGCTCATGGCTCCTCCCCAGTTCCAGCAGGCAGAACATGCTATTCAGGTCACCCCACCCACAAGAGGAAAACCATGTCTGATTCAGTAGGGCTCTTCTAATGTTCTCATCCAGAACATTTTCTGCATAATGCTTCTCTCCTGCATATGTAGCTTGCAAAGCTGTGCAGACCAGAACTTAATCCTATTCAGTAGAACAAAGTTTGAGTCCAGTGGCATCTTTAAGACCAACAAAAGTTTTATTCAAATATGGAGCTTTTGTGTGCAGGCACACTTCTTCAGATACAATGACATGGAAACAGAAATAACATACACAGAGAAGGTGGGTAGTAAATTAGCATCCAGAATAATGAAAGTGTTTTTAACAGATTAAAAGAATAATAAGCTTAGTATATATGGTTGTCATCTGTTTGGGTTCAACTGGGGAAACAAACATAGCAAAGATAATAAATAGGTCAGATATCCTTAATTGTGGAATGGTGGAAATCTGTCTGCTCTCAAGCATGTACATGAAAGCTCATATCCAGAATAAAACTTTGTTGGTCTTAAAGGTGCCGCTGGACTCAAACTTTGTTCTGCAGCTTCAGACCAACACCGCTGCCCGCCTGGAACAACCCTATCCAATATGGGCCATTTCCTAGGAACCAAGCTGGAATGGAAAGAGCAGCTGGGACCCCCACACACACACACACCCAACCCACAGTTTGCCAACTCCAGCCGGGGAATTCCTGGTGACTCCGGGGCACGACCTGGAGAACCTGGGAGGAGATTTCACCTAGAATCTCTCCCTGCCCCTGCGCCGAGGAGGCGTGAGTCTTCCGGGCGAGCTTGAGGGCAGGAGGGGAGGGGCCTCTTCCGCAGGGTGCGACACCCCCGAGTCCACCTTCGCGGGCGGGCGGGCCCTTTCCCCCCATTACTGCGCTCAGTGAACTCCCGGGGAGGGGGGGAGGAAGGGGGGGGATGGGCGC